TGCAGTCAAGATAAGGGCTATACACTGAGGAGAACATCTTTATTCCAACCTTTCCTCCTGATAATATTTCAGCAAACAATGGCCAGTAACAAACAGCCAAGACGCATGACCTGCAAAACTGAACTCTGTTCAGGATCCGAATCAGCTGACAGGAAGTGCATCACGTCTGCATAACATCTGAATAACTCCAAACCAAAGCTAAATCCACTTCTTTATTCATAGCACTGAACTTACCTCCTTCACCTGAATAGTAAAACAACTCATGCTGACTGTCTGTGCTGGCACGGCATAAAGAATCTCATACGTATACCTTCACACTCTCAGATATTAGAAATTCATTTGCATTCATCAGCAACACTGCCCCTGGGGGATCTGTGAAAATATGTCGGATTGTTTAGTCAAAATTACAATACAGCTGGGGCAATTTATCTTTTGAAAAGCCTGTTAATTTGTTCAGAAGGAAATGGTGTTTTCATTTGCATGTTGAATAAGGAGTAGCTGGAGAACCCTTTTCCAACCTGTTACACCACTCTCTCCATGGCTAATGAGGCAGGGAGCAGGGAATTACTGATTCCACCAGGAGCCTTTAGCATGACAAATACACCATGACTTTACAGTTGGCACAGAGCATGTCCACATGTATGTGTGTGAGAGTCAATGTCTGTGTGTGTGCACATACTATATGTCTGTATGTTTTTCCTACAGCTGCAATTAAAACGGCTGCAATTACATTCAGCACAATTACATTAGATTAGTTAACATTATACAACAAGGCAAATAGGAATAATGGCCAATAAAATAGTGCTTCGGTTAAATGTGTTGATTTTTCTGTGCAGCTAAATAGCTGTCAAGGCATCGGTATGTATGATAGTTCATTCACCCACAGTATGTTACGCTGAGGAACCTAAATTTTAACCGAAATGATTACCCGCATTTATAGTAGAGAGTAGGATGTAATGGTGGTATAACTGTATAATCTGGCATGATTTAAAGAAGGTCCAGAGCAAGCAGGAAGCTTCTGGTCAGAGACCTGAGGCGAATGTGGAAGTCCCTTAAACCGGCATTCTATTGCACGGCCATCAGGGGGCGACTCTTCTGGTTGCAAAAAGAAGTCTGGCTCCATTAGGAATAATGGTAAAATGACCCTAATTCTCACCTGATTTATTACACCTCAGTAAACACTTTCATAATGAGTTCATGGTCTTGATCGCTAGTTTCTAGTCTTCTTCAATATAACATGATGTTCATTTAGTAAACATGGTCCTATTTAGAGAAAAATAGACCAGAAAGCATGCTTCAGGTCGGGATTATCTGTAATTGACAAATCGTTACCATGGTGACCTGTCAATCAGGCTAGAGTGACCCACTGTACCCACGGCACTGTGCAAATTTAACCATGATGACTACATCTTATATATAGTCTATGGTCCAGAGTTAAAAAGAATCCAAAGGTCCAAAGAATGTTTTCACATTTGACAGTCAATGGTAGCTAATGAAAAGAACAGCAACTAAAGCTAAAAAAACAAACAAAAAAATGTTATCTCATCTATGTGGCTTTTAACAACATTTTGAATGAGACAAAAGAAAACGTAAGCTAAACTTGACAAATATCAGCTGACTTATTACTAGGATGCCAAGATTTACAGTTTAGGAGACAATAGATCTCAGTCATGACAGCAACAGTCACATTATCACTTCCTCTATAGCGGTTTTGCCTACAAAATAAAAGCACGAGAAGCTTGTTTTCTGCAATTCTGTATTTGGAGTTGAACTGAGCTTTTACTTTGTAAAATTCAGAACGACATTAAAAGAGTCTGTAGCCTGCTTGACACACCTCTGAAGAGCCATCAGAAAACGTGATTCCCCTAAATGTCCTCTGCCTTGAGATACTGGGGAAATGAGAAAGCGTCCATAGGTTGATGATGCGGATCAAACACCGAAACAAAAACACTGCAGAACACGCCGTGATCTGAGAAACATTAGCTGCAGAATCCATTTGTTGAAGAGAGAAAAAAAAATTGCCCCAAGGTGGGATTAAACATTCAACCCTTGGATTGCAAGTCCTGCGCCTTACTATCTGAAATACCAAACAACATGTCCGCGTGGGTTCTCTCTTGTTGCTCCAGCTTCCTCCCACCGTCCAAAGACATGCAGGCTAGGTTAATTGGTGTCTCTAAATCGCCCTTAGGTGTGAGTGTGAGTGGTTGTCTGTCTATGTGTGGCCCTGCGATGGACTGGCAACCTGTCCAGGGTGTACCCCGCCTTTTGCCCAATGTCAGCTTGCGACCCTGTACACAGGATAAGCGGTTGACGATGGATGGATGTTCTCATCCACCATCTAATGGTTGAAACTATTGCTCCGATACAAAACTTATTTGCTGGCCCCTGCTGTATATTATTACTACTTTTTCTTCTTCTTTCGTAAGTATTCAACATAGTGATGAGTGACTGCAGTGCCTGAATTCTACCAGAAGTAGAAGAAGAAGAACGCAGTGACGAAACGTGTTCTGTAGCGCTGTTTGTCCGTTTTCAGATACTGTAGAAACATGACGACGCAACGTGGCGACATCCACGCGGTTATGTAGATATAAATGGCTAATTCTAAGGTAATAAAAACATAATGTTTATTATGTCTTTGAAATATTACACACTGAACCTTTAACAGCAAAATCATAAGTGCAGTGAAAGTTTGAGGCATGTTGTCTCACTTAAGGTTTTGCAGAGAATACTGGAGTGTATAATGAGCTTGAAAAATTCAAGGTGCTCTGTCCAGGCAAATGCAAGTAATCCAACGTCAGTGAATCACTTTGTAAACAATACGTTAAGAAGATTATACACCCCAATATTTTCCCAGAGAACCAAACCGTTTTATGGTCTTATCAAAAAAGCGCAGAAAAGAGTAAAAAGAGAAAAATTTAAGAGTAAAAAAAATTGGATTCCATCTGACAGCAGTACATGTAGGAATAAAGGCAATAAAGGCTGTCCAGAGAGCCTCTAAGTATTCTTTTTCCACAAGTTAAAGCAGACTGTGGTGGAGGAGAGTAAAGATAATAGGGAGGAGATGGGAGTTTGGATGTTCAGTACAGAGTACAGAGTTTGGTAAGCTCGCAGTCAAGTACTATAAAGTAGCCTGCTATTTTCAAACACTTTGAGGTTTAATCTTTTGGTTGCTAATGATGTATTTTGGTTAAATTAATTACGTCCGTGCTATCCCAACGGAAAACATAAAAAGATGAACTTCTGAACGATTGGGGTGCAATACTGGTGCAAAAAGGCACTAAAGGAAAAATACCGCCTTTAAAGTTCCCATTTACACACACGCTGACAAATATGATAAACACATACTGCGAGCGCTAATACTTCATGGGAGTTCATCATCACTGGAGTGAGAGAAAAAGCAATGAGGCATTTTGGCAGATTTCCTGCTCACCCAGGGTTGACAAATTGCCAAGGCTCTCTGTCACAGCTCCACTTTAAGGCTGCTAACTGTTTCATCCACCATGATTTAGATCTCAGGCATAAAAGTAGCCCAGTGGAAATGCATATTCCTTACACTTTAATTTGCATCACACAACATGGAGCAATTACAGTCACTTTGAATGGTAATTTGTACGAGACAAAGCTCAATGAATCAATAACTACTTTGTTGTTGATGTGGAATCACCTGAGAAAAAAACACTTCCTCAGACAGGCAATTTTGAAGGTGAGTACATGAAAACAGTCCTCATAAATAGCACAAAGGTGTAATTAAGGTATTTTCCAGTCAAAACAATCCCCTCCAGCCTACAACGCTACAATCTCTCTCTACTTTCGTTCCAAAATAACTTACAATAACACAAACAACAAACCTTCTCTGTAACACTTTATCCACTGCAATATTAAAAACATTTCTTCTACAGCAGCCAGTAAATCTCTTCTAAAAAGAAGCCAAGCTAAATGCGGGCAAACTTGTTTTTAGGCATCGTAAGGTGGTACCAAAGCGTAAACTTAACCTCTTAACTGTGTCATAAATTAACTCTCTTGAGACTTTTCTCTTAATTTTCAGCTTTTTACCTAAGTTGAACATCACTGAAATAGCCCATGCTTCAACTTGTAGAAAATTTGAACTGAGAAATTGAAATAAATACCAGGTTTCAAGTTGGTCCAGAGCCAAGATTTGGTGTGTTGTGAGCTCTTTCGTTGTCACTGAAATAATGTTTCAGAAAAATGTCGGCCTCCTGAAATGAACATTTTTCCAGCTAAAGCAAAGTAAGACAACGACGTGCGTGTGTTGTGGCACTCTTGGTTACCATTGTCTTGTTTACATTTCTTACATTCAATTTTTTTTCATTTGTTATATTATGTGTCTCATTTGCTGCATTATGTTTTTCTGATTAGTAGACAAAGTACCTAAATAAACATGCCTAACTGATGCTAGGCTGTGGACTAGCGGTGTCATGGCAATGTTGTCTGTGGACTGTACGATGGAGCAAATCATAAACTTATCATACACATATTTGTTAGTATCTAATGCCAGAGATCAATGCCTGATATTTGCCAGATTTTGTTAGGGTTAGGGTTGTAAAATATTGTCTCCAGACCACTATAGTATTGTAAATACACCATTGGTCTTTATCTGGGTTGTCTACAAACTGTGATCTCTTGAACAAGAAGGCATATTTGACAAGTTTGCATAGCATAGCTACATACAGTGCAGTATTTTGGGAATAAATAGGCATTAGTAGGCAGATTAGTTATACGCTGCATGATTCATTTCAGACAAACAATGACTAAGAATTTATTCAGAAGGTTCTTCCTGTTGTATGCCTCAGTACAATTTTTTTTATAGATTGGCAGATGGGTTTGCTGTAAATGTTGTTGTTCACTGTCACATTTTATGTGTTTTCATAAAAGCCTACCAATGCTTGTATGTCCAATGACTTCTGTTGGAATCAGTTTGGAAAATGAGAGAACATTAGCAGAGCAGCAGAGTGTGTTCTCCCAGGAGGAGGCTGACTCACCTGAGGGTGAAAATTTGTGCTGAAGAGAGTGTGGAGAGAGCAAGAAAAGTAGAGACTGTTTCTCTCTGCCGGATGGGTTTGGAGGGAGCCATTACCACAAAGTTGTTGTCCAGCTTCAGCTCCGACAGCGGCTGAAACAGCCTGACACTCCCAATGCGCTGCATCGGTGTATGCCCTGCAAAATAGCCCATCGGCCTCTGCTGGTCTGTGCGAACTGGGCTGCCCTTTCTTGAATCCTCTGCGCTGCAGTCTCCACTGTCCGTGGTTTGAACCATGTAGTAGAGCTCCACAGGAGTGCCCTGGGCTTGCTCAGAGACCCTCTGCCTACCCGGCCTGACTGTGGGCGGACTGAACCAGCTGGCTAGTGGCTCCAGCTCAGCAACACATATCCCCAGCTCACCTTTGAGCCTGCATGTCCCACGCACCTCTTGAGTCTCATGGAAAGCGAACATCCTGACGCAGGGCAACTTGTGGATGGCGCTGTAATCATCCCAGTCTCTCCCTGCAATGTAGAACAACACTTGAACCTTTGGCCAACTGGGGTGAATCCTCTCGCTTATAATATATGTGTGGACCTTCCAGTTGAATGTAAAGAGAGGTGATGATGATGTGGATGTTGGCACTGGCGATGAACTGAAGGAAGGTGTATTAAATGGCCCTGGCAGAGTCTGCAGCAGCTCCAGAGGGACAGGCTGCTGGACAGACAGTGGCCCATAGCTAGCATTGACAAAGGGCATCTGCCGGGCCTGCTGGATGAAGAAGGACTCTGTGCGAGCCTGCAGGCTGGAGTTCCTCATTAAGTCCTGGTTTGCCTCCTGTAGGAAGAACGCTGACTCAGCATTGAGGATCCGGTAGCTGACAGGCAGATAGATTGGCGTGGGGCCATACCTCTGCAGGCCCTCCAGGATCACCTTACTGTCCACCACTGAAACAGAGAGAAAATGACAATGAAGGAGATGATGTTTTGTTACCTTTGTTTCAGCAACTGAATTTAAAACACCTGTAATAATCCAGGACATGTCTGGTCATGCATCATGGAAGCTGTATGAGGAAGATTTATTGTCTAAACCTTATCAACAAAACCTGAGCAAGGTGTGAAATCAAAGAGCAGAATGAGAAAAATTGAAGGAAATAACTCACAACCTTGATGGCGGCGCTTCACATTTAACATAACATTTGCATGCATTGCCTCCAACCGGAGGTAATCATATCTACAGTCAGTGCTAGTGGTAAATGTTAAATGGTTTGTTGGAGACATTTCCATATGATATCACTTTCATGAGCCGCTGCTCTTATTTAAAAGAATTTGTTAGAATCAATTCGAAACACTTGCGTGTGGTTTGCTTATCAGGCTTGTACCATTCCCTCCTGCTCTCGATCTTTTCCATTATGACTCACTAACTCGATCTGTTTTTTTTTCTCCTCAGACTTTATCATCTGTCTTCTTCCTGCATCCTTCCTTCTGTCATTCCAACTGTCTTTTATGCTTTACTACTGTCAAGTATGGGACGTTGGCACCAAATGCCTGGTCACATTCTCAAGCTTTGTCCCATTCCCATACTGCATTAGTAATTCTAAGCAGGTTACGAGCATGTAATGCATTCACCCTGGAAAACTGACAAAGTTACATACTCAAAAAAGTTAATATGTATGTATAATAATAAAAATAAAAACAGAGGAGCTACAGAAAACAGAGGAAAACAAGTATTAGATCTTTGAAAAAACAGATTGGTTTGTCTTGATAAACTTCAATTGGCAGTGGCATTTCAACTCTACAGTATACTTTCTTGTTAGTACAAAATGTTACTGCTGCAAAAACATACATACCTCGAAAACTTGTGCATATCATTGGGAAACTATTTTTTTTTTACTTATCCATTCATCAAATATTTGAATCTGGAAACTTTGCTAATTCCCCACGACCCTGTACGCAGGATAAGCGGTTGACAATAGATGGATGGATGGATGAATGGAAAGCTAATTAACACTGTATTCTGTAATCAAATTTTTAACATTCGTCAAAGTGGCACTTTTAAAAGTATAAAATCTGAATCTAAAAATATGTGAATACTGTCTGTATGTCCAGATTTGACTAAGTTATGTCTCTCAGCTCTCCCATGCCAGCCTGAGGAGACAGGCCTCACGTCACCTGTGTGCTGAGGTACTGAATACATATCTGTTTGGTACTGGTAACAGAACTCAGGGATCATAATGACACCAGTATTGAAATAAATATTTAAACACGACACCCAGCCTTTGTTGTCTCCCAGCCTCTCTCTTTCTCTTTCTTAACAGTTTTGGTGACAACCAGAGCTCACCCCTATATTAAATGAACGAACCTCACCAGACGCTGCTTGTCCCTAAAACCTTCTTCCTTCCTTCCATCCCTCCCTCTCTCCACCCTGTAAATCGTCCCCACCCGCCCTGTTTCTCTTTGTCATCAAGCTCCAGATATTTGGACTGATGGAGTAGCCCATAAGAGCCCATTGATTTTCTGTCTCGAAGCCTCCTTGCTATTGGAGATGTGGCGTGGCAGTGATTTGTGACAATCCATGGCAGCAGAGCAATAACAGGCTTGCCAGATGGACAGAACCAGCATCAGGCACAAGAGCAGCACTTCAGAAAGAACCATCCGAGCTCTGAGACAGAGAAAGGAGTATGTAGTGAAAGATTACACCACCCCCTCAAAACCCTGCTTCACCTTAATATTTAGAATAATAAATTAAATTCTGGTCCTCAAATAGTATTATTGAATCTGAAGTTCACTTGGTTTTTAGGGAACATCAAACCATTTACAGCTTTTTCATAAGTTTACTTTACATTCAAAAAATATACAGTATATATGCACAAGGCTTATATATACTGATGAATGAATGATCTTATATATCCATTTAATAATCAATACCTCCCATAAGGAGAGAGTCATGAAAAGGGATCTCATGCCTGGTTCTGCGCCATGCATTAGGCTATTTACAGTATATATGAGACAGCTCCTGGGGCTGAAATGAAATTTCATTATCTACCTTTCATTTGAATGTCTGGGAGAGATGTCTTTTCTCAAAAGGGACTGTCTTTGACTATAATGTGGGGGGATCAGAGAGTCAGTATCCAATCATTCTTCATCTGTTCTAACTTCGTGGTATACAGGAGCAGCTACTTCTATTCTGGTATAATACACAGGTGCATTCAAATTTTAATGGCAGAACAATGGAATCAAAAATCATCTACATGGCATCCATTTTATTCTGTAATAAATACAAAAATATTCAAAATATGGCCTTTGTCTCTACCACAGCTATGAAAATTGTGTTTGGCTGCCCAAATGAAAGACAGCAGCACTGCTGAACCTAATTACAGACCTCTATTCTATATAATCATATGCATTAATAGTAAAAAGTCTGACACTGATATGGGTAACAAAGTCATGAAAGAGTCATAAATATAAATTGCTTGCACTGTTTTGTAAGAAGCTGCTTTTTTGTTTGCATTCATGTTGTGCACCTGCTTCATACTTGGACGTCTGAGTTAAACTGCATTTTATTCACCACTGCATCCCTGATGGGGAGGAATACTAAAGGATGTAAAGACTCCCCTGAGACAGTTCATAGCGAGTGACTGCTTTTACACAGTTTTGACTGAGAGGTTTACCTTCAAAAATGACAAAACAGAGAGCAATATCAACAAGGGAGCAATTGCTTAGTTGGTGTTAGATCATGCTTACAGCACAGTGAGAGGATTTTCCTGTCTCTCTGTTTCTTTGGCGAATGTGACACACTGTCCTACTTTTCACTTACCATGACACAGATGAAACCAAATTCCTCATTACAGCTGAAAAATGTTGTAATTTGTAACTTAAGATTTAGAATATGCCCCCTTCTATGACACCAATACGACGTCATAAATAAAGAGGCAAAGCCGGTGGGATTTGTAGCCCTGGGTTGCCCTTGGATTTCATGTCTGCAACTACTGTACTTGTAAATCATGTCTGCAGGGCTGTTTGTGCAAATGAAAAAGGAAGTGATTTGTGCCGATAACTTAACCCCTGTGGTAAATCCTAGCTGTAAACTCTTGTGGTGGATTTCTGGGCACTGCCAAACCCTCAGGACGTGGGCTGAGGAATGTGATCACATATCAAGCATCCAGCTGTACCCGACTGGCCTCAACATTAGACATATGTTCAATTCAGGATTTAATGTCTTGATGATATATCCATAAGTAGTGTGAGCCAGGGGCCCCACAAGAGCATGGGACCAAATGAGCACCAAATTAAAATGCAGTTAAAGCATTTTCCATGGAATCCCTACAACATGCAGCTACCAACTTCTAAAATAAACTCTCAAATGGTATTAAAGCATTCATGTCCCCAAGACAGCCATGTATGGCTTCAAATCAAACCGTTTCTTATAATCACCTGTTCTCGTCCCTGGCGCCCTGAGTAGAACTTCACCCAAGAAATATAATCCCTTCATCTTCCCTCTCTCCTCTTACTGCTCCTCCTCATCTCATCCTATCTTTATCCTCCACCATGTGTGCATCTTGCAACCACTCCTCCCTGATCAAACATATTAAGTTGGCCCAACTTCAGTATTACATTAATCAAGCAGATTTTCTTATATAAAAATCTATAGAGAGAGAGAAGTGATCGAGGTAAGAGGTGGGAAGACTAACAGCAGGAGTGGGGAAGTGGGAGGTGGTGGTGGGGGGGTGTCTTCTCATACGTGCTAAGAAAAAGTCAAAGATTACAGCACAACAAAAGATCATGTGCATGGCCCACATGCCTCCTTCATTGTTGGATTCAGTTTAAAATTAGACTTGTTTTTCCTGTAGAGCCATCATGAACACTGCAGAACATTGCTTCAGAAACACCTGTACAGGAGTTCATCTTTTTTCCAACCTGCTGATACAAGTCTTACCGTCTCTCCTCTCACTGAAAAAACCCCCAACTCCAAGTGGTCACTGACAGGGATGAAATCTAAATCTGATCCATCTGTCTATCCATCCATTATTTACCCTAAACAGTTCTAAAAGGAAAAGTCTGGCAATCACCTATATGTCTGTCATTGTTAAGAAATCCTATGAAAATACAAGAACCAGCTATGAATTTATGTGGTTAACAAGCAAAGCCTGGTATAGTTTATTCCTCTGTGCAAAAAGAGCTCAGTTCTTTTTGTCTATAAAAAAGACATCAGTGTGCCACACTGGGTGACATGTTACCTCATCCACTGGGTAGATCTTTTTTTAGACTCAATCCCACAGACCTGGTCCTGGTGCCCAAATGCCCAAAAGTCTTCAACAAATGCACTATTTCTATTTGAGTAACATTTGCTACAAACCTAGGAAATCCTAAATCCAAATTCCTAACATTTTAGACACTGTGACTTAAAGAATTGTAGTTTTGAGTGAAATGTCTCAACAACTCTTTGAACGATTGTCATGAAATTTGGTTTAGATATTCATGAATGATTAACTGCGATAACTTTGGTGATGACTTTGGTGTTAACATCAAAATTTTAATTTGTCCAATACTTCTGTTTATGATCAAGTAGCTTGAAAATTAATGACATGCTATATTAATGTTATACTTCAACATGTTAGCAATGTGGTGGTGGGCATTTTGCCACACTAGTGATGAAAATTTAGCTCAAAACACAGAGGTGCCTAAATAGAGTCTTATACTGCGGCCAGCATGGCTTTAGACTCTTGCTGCAAATTTAAACATTATTTTTATAATTTGAAAATGTATGTTTAGGAACTACTGGGGTTCGCTGTGAGTAGTTTGTTTGAGACAAGACTGCTTTTTCCAAACCTAGATCATTATACACAATTTAAGGTTGACTTTGCAGAAAGTCTTTCATGCTTAAATGAATCCTCCAGTGTCTTATAAAAATGTGTCTTTTCAGCTTTCAAACAAAACAGTGTGATATG